ATTTTATCTCTTTTTTTCCACATTTTTTCTCTCAATCATCTTCTGAGAACAGAAGATGAGCAAATTAGTTACGACGAGAACCGAGAAAGAGAAAACAATGAGAACAAATACAATAGAACATTGAGGTTGAAAAACCCTAGATTTTGAAGAACGAGGAAAAATCAAAACGAATGCAATGAAAGAAAAAGTTAAAACCACATACCTTGGAAGGGAACAGATCCGTCTCCAGAAATCTTACAGGGGTTGCAGTAACAGCGAATCAAAGAGCAGTAGGGTTTTCTACGGGAGGCACAGCTGAAACGAGATGGTCTTCCTCGATTTCTTCCTCGATTTCTTTCTCGAAGCTCGCCGTTGGATTTCTTCCTCGACGCTCGCCGTTCTCCCGTTCTTCCCTCGAAGCTCTCCTGGCTCGAAGGTCTGTATGCTCGTGAACCAAACCCTTGGTCGAACAAACAGATGTTTTTTACACGTACAAAATATCTGCACGTGATAGCGCTAATCTACTCGCACGAGTAGATTCTATTTAGCGTAAGGAGAAACCACCCATTCCGTAATAAGTATATATATAGATAATATATTAATAAAATAAATATTTATTTTTAATTTTATTATATTAATTTATTTAATGATTGTATATATAAATAATTATATATATGAAATTCATATAAAATTAGAATTATAAAATTTTAAATAAATAATTTTGACCTAGTCCATAGCCCGACCAGACCCATGGATCAATTTAGCCTACGACACAGTACAGGTTTGGGTCGTTAGCTGTATTGGGCCGACCCCTTAAATTATCTCAGAGGAAGACGGCATAGCCACACTTTACATGGATCGCCCATGGGTAGAGGTGGATTCGAGCCGAGCCGAATAGTCCCAGGCTCGAGCTCGGCTCGAGACTATTCTATAAGGCTCGAACTCAATTCGGTTCTAGCTAGAACCTTGAGCTCGAACTCAGCTCGAGTCAAAAGTTCATAAATTCGAATTCGGCTCATCTCGGCTCGTTTTATATTTTATAAAAATGTTTTATTATATATAATTCTTTATTTTATATTTAAAAAGTAAGAATTATAATAATTAATAATTATAATATTTTTATTATATATATTATTTTTCTATAATTTTATTATATATTATATATATATTAAATATCAAATATCATAAATCGAGCTCTGCTCGCTTAATAATTTAGCCTCAGCTCGTGAAAAATTCAGCTCGTTGCCACCGTGGATAACGGATAAGGAGCGTACGGCAAGAAAGATGCGGTGTATACAGCTTACGATGGCGAGAATCATGGAGAGGGAGGCAGGGGAGGGGAAGGAGCGAGGAGATATATATGACATATGGATTTGCCGATTTGGCATGGTCATCCGTTACCCAGATAACGAATCCCGAAAAGGAGATGCTAGTAATCTGAAGAGGAAGAATGGCTTGTAGCTGGCAAATCATGATGTGGCATTCACCCGTTCCCTATTGCGATTTGAGATTTTTTAACATAGGTTCAGAACAAAGAAAGCAGAAAAGAGATGGAGAAAGCTATTTTACCTGTTTGAGCGATGATTTGGTGTCCTTCCGCCCCTTTTTTTTTTGTTTAAAACAGAGAAACTCCACCACTGTTTTTCATGCAAAGAAAAGAAAGCATCTGCTTTTCGTCCAAAACCGAGAAAGAATGGTTGGGTTGTGATTTAATCGTGAGAACACCGAAAGCGTTCCAGTTGGACAAGATCACGTGATAAACCCTCCTAAAATCGTGGACGAAACATGACTCTTTTGAAAACCATCCGACGAGGCCAAGATACTTGTTGAGTGCGTAACATACATTCTAATTGAGAATACAAAATGTTGGAGGGCAGAGAGGATGTGAGTTTCTGGTATGATAACTGGCTAGGGACTGGGACTCTCTTCTCTCACGCAATTGATGTCGAAAACATGAACCATGGTTTGCTTGTTAAGGAGGTAGAATCACGGGATCATGTTTTCGTTTTGGCAAGGAAAATCTTCCCTCTGTCTCTGTGTGAAACGGAGACTCTTTGGCAGTGTGTTACTCGGTGGTTTTCTTATGCAGGCAATAGAAAAGATGCATGGGCTGAAACGGTAAGATCGATACCAGTTCTAGTTATGTGGGAAGTTTGGAATGAAAGAAATAAAAGGAAATTCGAAGGTAAATCATCATGTTCGGCTTCAACGGTGGTGGGTAAAGTAAGACGATGGTTGACGGAATTTTGCACACCCCCAGGCCCCAGCCCTAAGGGAGGAGTTTATTCAGTTAAAAAAGCTTTGGGTGTTAACGTTGAACCTAGGTACGGTGCTCGATACAAGCTAGTCTGGTGGATTCCCCCGTGCTGCAATACTATAGCGGTGAACATAGATGGTGCAGGTGCAGCTAGGGGAAACCCGGGTGTAGGAGGTGGTCGACAAACGGTTTTTTGTATGCTTTAATTTTTCAAAATAAATATTATGGGCAGGTAACAAATATGAAAGCTTAAAAAGATGGGCTTCAACTTGCTTGCTCCATGGGCTTTACCTATTTAAGTATCCACTCATACAGCCTTGCTTTGGTTAATATGGTTCCCTCTGGTATGAATTACAGGAAATTAAAAACATGATACAACGGATACAGTTTACCATGTCACGTTGTTACGACTTACAGGGAAGCAATTCAATGGCGGATGCTTTGGCATATGAGGGATGTGATACTGGTCGAGATGACCTCTACCTATCTGGCGATACTCTTCCGCATAAGGCTTTCAGGAATGACTGTCTATAGAAGTGTCAATCGGACGGATTTGGTCCAACCCAATCCAGTCCGATGCAAGTCCACTTATAAATAGACACTGAATCCAATCCAGTTCAAATTGGATACAAACCAAATCCAATCCATTAAAATGTAAATGGATTTGAAACCGAATGAAATATCAAAAATTATATAAAAGCATTTCTGTAAAAGTACTTTGATAAAAATATTCTCATAAATGTGATTTTATAAAAGCACTTTATCGAAAGTATTTCGGAAAAGTGCTTTTATAAAAGCATTTTATTGAAAGTACTTCTATAGACTTTTATAAAAGTACTTTTGTAGAAGTGCTTTTGTGAACTTTCGTAGAAGTGTTTTTATAAAATTATTTTTGAAAAGTACTTTGGAAAAGTGCTTTTGTAAAATTACTTTTTATAAAAGTACTTTCGTAAAAGTACTTCTGTGTGTGTTTTTATAAAAGTGCTTCCATAAAAGTAGTTCTATAAAAGTGCTTTCATAAAAGTACTTCCGTAAAAGTTTTTTTGTAAAAGTGATTTCCTAAAAGTGCTTTTGTGTAAAAGTACTTTTATAAAAGCGCTTTCATAAAAGCACTTTTTTAAAGTGATTTTATAAAAGTGCTTTTAGCCTTTTATAAAAGTTCTGTAAAAGTGCATTCATAAAAGTACCTTTGTAAAAGTATTTTTTATAAAAGTACTTTTGTAAAAATAGTTTTCATAGAAGTACTTTTGTAAAAGTACCTTCATAAAAGTGATTTTATGCTATTTTCGGTTTTGATTGATTTCAAATTGGACAAGGGTTTGGCCTCATGATCGGATTATTGGAAATTTGGTTTATGTCTAATTCAAACCAATAAGAATATGGACCAATTTATTTTAGATTGGCCCAATCCAATAATTATAATGACCCATCCAAATTCAATTTGATAAGGTTTGGATCGAATTGGATCCAAACCAAAACCGGTCAATTGACACCCCTACTATCTAGGGCTTCCTTATCTTTGTTGTTTATAGTTGTTGGGTGTTCCCTAGATAGCTTTTATGAGCCAATTGAACACTTTGTATATATTTTTCAAGGGGGTAAAGTATTCTCGTTCCACCCTTCATAGGTTTGATTTATTTGATTATTAAGCTCGAGTGACAATTTGGTCCTCGAACTTTAAAATGCAACAATCCAATACCCAAATTTCAAACGTGACAATCCAGTACCCGAACTTTCAAAATGTAACAATCCAGTMCCTGCCGTTAACCGATTTGTTAATCGACCATTAAGTGACATTTGAAAAGTTAAAAATGCCCTAAGAATGCCATATAATTATTTTTTATCAACCATCTAGGCATTGACTTTTCTTAAAAAAAATACAAAGAAAATAAATGGTTTTATATTGATAGAAGATTTTCTTAAAAAAAAAAAAAAAACATGCAAGGGCTTCAACTAAGGGTGATCATGGACCGGGCTGGATTGGGTTCCAGGCCTACATATTTCAGGCAGAGTCTATTGAGACCAGGCCTGATCAGGGCCTTAGACCCAGCTGGGATTGCATACAAATACCAGCCCAAGCTTGGAAATTTATGGGTCAGGCTGCTGGAAACTATCAACCTACAACCTTAGCTTCAACCACAAGCCAATCCAATGCTTGCAATGTTGAGCAAACTTTGACACATTATCTCATTTAACCTAATCTTTCATAGCAACACTGTCCATCTCCACCTCCAAACTAGTAACTAATTTCAAATGAACTCATAAATGCTTTATTACATGTTAGTGTATGTATATAAATGGGGTTTAGTCAGGGCCAGGTCAGAAGTGGGGCTAACCGGACCCGGACCAACCCAAGAGTTAGCATCTAGGCTGGGGCTCACCCGTAAATTCCTCTGGTCCAGCTGAGGCCCAGGCCAAAGTTGGACGGGCCTAGCCGGGCTAGAAATCGCTCTCCCTAGCCCCTAGCCCCTAGCCCCTAGACCGTGATGTTAATAAGAACATCTTTATCAATGAAAACACAGACACTTGTCTTGGACCACTGGTGCTACTGCTACCTCCGGTATGGAGCGATCCGGAATTCGGACCCGGTACACCCCATTGACAATATAATAGCTTTTTTATGCATAAATTTAGAAAAAAATGAAGTTTTTAGTCATTAATAAATGATAATTTAACAGTACTAAAATGTTAACCCATCACAGAGAGTCACGACCTCCATTGTTTTGGTTCTCCTTGGGGCTGGGTTATAATCAACGTCTGAAAGTGAGAGAATTGAATTTGTTTTGGTAGATTATCTGACAATGAAATTATGAAAAGGAAGCTCGGGATTTTAGATTTGTGTAAACTTAATATTTATCTAATAATTGAAGCAGCCATAGTACATGAACGAACTCGGCAACTCGCTTGCGCAATCTCCATTTCTACAGAAGAAGAAGAAGAAGAAGAAGAGGAAGAAGAAGAAGAAAGGGCATTTCTCATGTATTGTGGTTGTAGTTGATCCGTTGTCGAGCTTTTGTTTTCCGATCTTGATTGAAGCATCGATTCAGGTAAACAAAACGCCCTCCTTAGATCTTCTTAATCTAGCGAACCCTCCGAGACGTTCAAAACCGAGAACGTTTTTAATAGTAGCCGAAGATGTTAGGATTAGGATTAGGTCTTCCGTTAAATCCTGTCAACGTATTCAATCGATGATATATGGTGTTAGACGGATGTGAGATGAGTCGGTCTCCTTCTTTCTCGTTGAAGACAGAATCCGGTTGTAAGGTTGACCCAAAAGCTTTGAAGCGATGGGTTGTCGCTTTTTGTATCATTAGGTTCGATCTTGAGCAGGGTCAGGTCATTGAGGAGTGTTATCCACCGGATTGTCTCACGCAAGATGAAGAGCTCGAAATTGCTTTCAGTTCCTTTCCTGATTCTGTGTCCCAGCACCAAAACCGCTCGAGCATCCACGACTGTATCTTCTTTTTTCGGTTCCGAAGGCGAGAGACTACTCAATTGGGAAATGTATCTTCTTCGGAGAGAGTTGAAGCAGAAGAGAAAGTGGTATCTCCAAAGTCTGTAGATAATAGGGCACTCAGAAGGTCGAGCAGTAGCAGTAATGCTAATAGCCCAAGGTACATGTATGGCTATGTATTCAATAGGCAAAGGCAGGATGAGAGGCTAAAGCGAGGAGGAGAGCAGAAGTCTGTGGTCATATTGTCTTACTGTCCGTTCTCGAGTGTGTTCAGGCCTTTGTTACAAATATTAGGTCCTCTGTTTTTTGACATTGGTAAGAGAGCTCTGGAGCAGATTGCTTCTTGCGTCTCAACATGGCCTGCTCCTGTACCAGGTAAACTAATGGAACTTCCTATAGGGAACGCTACACTTAAAGTAAACCTGCCGCCTGCTCATAGCTTGCCATTGGAGTGGGGGGTCGTGTCGGATGAGTCTTTCTCCTCTATGGCTCCTTCTCTTCCTACAAACCAGTCAGTCCCGCAGGGTCTCTTCCATGATGCTGATCTTTTTGGTATATTCAGGGGGATTCTTTTGCAGCTTTGGGTGCTCTGGGAGCTCTTGATTATCGGTGAGCCCATTCTTATAATAGCGCCAACGCCACCTCAGTGTTGTGAAGCTGTTGCCAGCCTTGTAAGTCTAGTCACCCCACTCTTGTGTAGTGTTGATTTCAGACCTTACTTCACCATTCACGACCCGGATTTTGCCCATCTCAACTCTCTTAGTGAAGGAGACACTTTTCCTCCAGTGGTTCTGGGTGTGACAAATCTCTTCTTTCTTAAGGCTCTTCGAAATATCCCCCACATTGTTTCAGTTGGTAGCCCTGCTCCTAATTCGAACCGGTTGGCTGCTGCTCCCAGGATCTCCTCTACTGGCAGGATTTCTGGTAAACCAGAAGGACTTGGTTTACAACAACTTTCCTTAAAGAGGTTTTCTCCATCAAGTTTGTTGAGTGCTGTAAAGTTGAGGAGAGATGGTCCTCTTTGTCTCATGACAGAACACAAGGAAGCCATTTGGAGCACCTATGCTGCTACAACCAAACCAGACACTGCTATCTTAAATAGGCTTATTGATGCAGGCATGTCCCCAAGGATTGAGGAGTCAATGTCAGTTGTTAACAATGAGATATTGAGGCGGCATTTTTTTGAACTTACTACCAACTTCCTTTCTCCTTTTGCTCGATACTTGAGAGCCACTACACCTTCAGAAGGAACTTCTCCTTTCCTAGATCCTCCTCCCCTGCCTCGATTTGATGCTGAAGAATTCCTGGACAACTTATCAGCAAGGGGTCCAGGGAAGTTCTTGTCAAAGAGGATGAGGGCTAATTGGCTGGACCTGTACAGGTAATGCATCTACCTGTCATTGGACTGCATTTTATTGCCATTGATTGTACATCTAGTAAACCCTCTCCACTTCTTTTAATTCTATCACTACCTTTTCTGTTTCTTTTTTCCAATGTTGTCTCTGGTGAATCAGTGCTGCTTCATTTCCTTTCAACACAGGCGCTTTTTGAAAGGACACAACTTTCTGCCATGGTTCCAGAGAAGGCGTGCTGTTGCTGAACAAGAACAACAGAGATTATGGAGGCAGGCAAGAATGAGGACCAACATCCAAGAGTTCATATCAAAAATGTCTGAACTGGAAATTGTTGATTCATTCAATGCTATTGAGAGACATTTACTTGGAGAAATACAGGTAGGAACTTCTAATGCCGAGATAATTTTCTTTGTTTTCCTTGGTGTGCTATAAGATAATTCTTAATGGCCGACTAATCATGATCGTTCCATGATAATATTAGCAAAAATTACAGAAAGTTGTCTGACTCATGGGACTTGGCACCCGATATTAAACATAAGTTGATATAAATATAGAGATAAAAACATTTCACGAAATATAGTTTCAAGAGGAATTAGAGAACAAAATGGAAGAATGACTTTTAATGAGGCATCAAGTGGTAGTCCCCTTTCCTTTTTACTCTGATAGTGGATGTTTTGAGTGTGTTTATAACTAGGGCTGACTCAAGAAATTTAATCAAAGGTTGGGAGAATCGAGAGGCATCAAGTGGTAGTTATAGTGTTACACACTTACAATTTGCAGATGATATCATTTTATTTTGTGAAGGGGAACCAGAGGAGATGGAGAATTTGAAACTTTTAGTGACACACTTTGAGAGGGTCTCTATTATGAAGGTCAATTGGAATAAGAGCTACGTAATGGGATTAAACAAGCAAGAAGAAGAGGTGCTACCTGTGGCAACATCTCTAGGTTGTGGGGTAAGTGATTGGCCTATGGTTTATTTAGGTTTGCCTCTAGGGGGAAATCCTAGGTCAGAGAGTTTCTGGCACCCAGTTTTGGAAAGATTCACAAAGAAATTAGCAGATTGGAAGAGAAATTACATCTCACTAGGGGGTAGAATCATTCTAATCAAGTCTACTTTTCGCAACCTATCGGTATGTTTCTTGTCCATTTTCAAGCTTACTGTTAAGATAGCAAGTCAAATTGAAAATCCGATGAGGGGCTTTCTTTGGGAACCAGGTGACTCAAAAAAGGATTATCTAGTGGAGTGGTAAATTGTCACTAGGAGGTGAGAAGACAAAGGCTTAGGCATTGGTATATTACATTAAGAAACCTAGCCTTGTTAGGAAAGTGGTTATGGAGATTTCCCTTAGAGTAGGGTTGCTTGTGGCATCAAGTGGTAGTAAGCATTCATGGCATGGCATCAAATGAATGGAATGTCGGGTTTGACCCCAAGGCCTCTCACTTTTCCCCCTGGAAAGCAACTGTTGGAGTTCTACCTTCTTTTCAACCTTTCATAAGGTATGGTGCTTGCTCAGGTAACAAAATTTTGTTTTGAGAGGATACTTGGATTGGGAATGCTCCTCTTAAGGACATGTTCTCGGTTATGTATTCTCTTTCTTTAAACAAATTGAAGGTCATTTCCTCTGTTCGTATGAATGAGGGTTCTCAGGATTTGGGACTGAAGAGAGGGTTGAGGGACTTAGAAGTGGCCTTCGCAGATGAGCTATTCTCTTTGTTGGGTGTTGTTTTTCTAGACCAGTCTTGCCCAATAATATAATTTGGTTAGAGTCCTCCTTAGGGATTTTTTCTTGCTCTTTGTTTTTCAATGCTTTACTTAGTTCTAATGTTGTACCTACCCCTTTTCCTGCAAAACAAGTCTGGGGTACTTCTGTTCCACCAAAGGTAAGGGCTTTCTACTGGGATGTAGTTCTTGAAAAGGTCAATACTTTGGACGTACTTCAAAGAAAAAGGAAAGATTGGTGCCCATCACCACATGCCTGTTGCCTTTGCCTGAGGAGTGATGAGACAGTGGCTCATCTATTTATTTCCTATCCTTTTACTTCTTGTATTTGGGATTGGTTCCCCTCTCTATTTGGTTGCAGGTGGACTCCTCCTTTGTGTGTGCAGAACCTTTTCAACTCTGTCCTCTTCCAGTTACCATAGAAGAGAGGCAGGGTGATGTGGAAAACAACAAGAGAAGCTGTTATATGGTCAGTGTGGGAAGAGAGAAATAATAGGATTTTCCAAGGGTAGGAATGACCCAAGGAAGCACTTATAGAGGGCGCCACCACCAAGGATCATACTTTGCCTGAAAGCTTTGGAGCTTTTTAAAGACTTTTCCTTTACTGACTTCACTAGAGGGTGGAGTGTCATAGCTGGTTCCTCATCCTTCTCCCCTTCTGTATAGTAAAGTTGGACCCTGCCGCCTTGCTCCAGAGTGAAATTGAATTTTGACGGAAGCTCTCTAGGCAACCCAGGCCCCTTGGGTGTAGGGGGTGTTTTCAGAGATGAAGGGGGTAGAGTGCTGGCCCTGTAGGAGTGGGAGACTCCTTTAAGGGCAGAAGTTTTTGCTTTACTCCAAAGTCTTAGATTGGCAAAGCAATGGGGAATGCAACATTTAGAAGTGGAGGGGGACCCCAAACTGGTAGTAGGCTGGCTGCAAACTAGAAGCTTGGGCACGCGGCTTTTCAGACAACAGCTAAGAGAAATATTGAGCTTAGCAAGGGAGATTGGGGTGAGGTTTAATTGGGCAAGAAGATCAGCAAATGGTATGACTGATGCTTTAGTGAAGCAAGGAGTCAATAGGCAGGAATTGTTTTGGGCCAGTTTATGAGACAGTTTTTGTCAAAGGGTTCTCCATCAGGCCCTTGGATGGTGGCAGTTGTAATCTTTATCCATTATTTTTAATGAAAGTTACTGTTTCCCATAAGAAAAATGCAAGGATGATTACCTGAATGACAGCGTTAATGTGGCACAAGCTTAACTTATTTTTATTATGTTTTTTCAAGGATACTTGCCTTATTTGTATTGTCGCGCAAGGCAGCAGTTAGGTGAAAAGTCACTGCCACAACTTGTTTTGTTCACAAGCCTACAATCTGCTTTGCCTTTGCTCTTTAAAGACACAGTCACACTGGAATTAGGATTTCTTTGATGCTACCCATATATTATAGGTTTAATTAAGAAGAGGAATTAAATATGACAAATGGGAGGACTTTGGAGAAGCAACTTCAGTGCTTTCTCAAAGCAGTGGATTAAGGTCCTTCTTTAAGTTCTTATTTATTTCTGCTGTCATGCAAAACAACAGTAAAGTGAAAAGTCACTGCTACATCTTGTTTTCCTTATAAGCTCTGGCATCTGCTTTGCCTTTATATTTAAAGGCATAGCCGCACTGCAATTAGAATTTCTTTGATGCTACTCATATAGTACAGGTTTAAGTAAGAGCAAGAGTTAAATATCACAAATGAAAGGATATGGAGAGGTAACTTGAGTGCATTCTTAGAGAAGTGGATTACAGTCCTGTAATTCCTTACATATTTGGGTTTTCCCTGAAAATTTTTATTGCTATTTCTTTCATTAACAATGATGAGGTATTTCCATTTAAAAGAGAAGAAAAAATAATGATAAGGTATTTGAGCTATCACTCATGTAACAACTTTCCCTTAAAATTGGTAATTGGTGGAGGTGGAAAAGTATTGTCTGCATTCTTTTTTAAATCTTTAAGTAGGTATTCAATGGAATTGATTGTTCATAACTAGCTGCATTTCCATGATGACATATCCTCTAACTCACAACATCAAATTGATTCTTGAAAATTGATGTGAATATGGTATCAATCTTGATAATCATTCATGAATGAGATGGTATTTGCTAGGAAACTATTATTTATTTTTTTTCGAGTTTGGAGGTTTGAGGAGAAACAAGGAGTGCTGTGGAGAATGGTTGTGCATGCCATATTGATAAAAAAAGGTATCAATCTTGATAATCATTCATGAATGAGATGGTATTTGCTAGGAAACTATTATTTATTTTTTTTCGAGTTTGGAGGTTTGAGGAGAAACAAGGAGTGCTGTGGAGAATGGTTGTGCATGCCATATTGATAAAAAAAGGTTGTACATGCCAAGTATGGAGAAAGAAACTTGGGATGGGATCTAGGAGCCTCCAATGAATCCTACAGGTGCTCACTTTGGAAAGGGATTGAGAAAGCTCACAATGCTTTGGCAAAGGGAGTAAAAGTTCAAGATACAGAATGGGGAGTATGTAAAATTTTGGAAGGATGTTTGGTGCAGAGAAAGATCCCTGTCAGAAGCTTTCCCTGCACTTTTTGAATTGGCTGCTGATTAAGAAGCTAGAGTTGTAGATTGTATGCAGAGGCAAGAAGGTAATGTGGTTTGAGCTCCAAGTTCAGAAGAAACCCAAATGATTGGGAAGTGTAGGCAATGGTAGAAATCATAGTTTTCAAGGCACCATGGCGAGGCTAGGCGACAGGGGGGCGCCTTGTCACCTAGTCGCCTAGGTGATGGATTTTTTTTTAAGTAAAAAAACATGTATCCTAGGGTAGTTCCCTAGGTTCTATAACCATATTTCTTTAATAATTATCCATAATTTTCATAAGATAAGTATAAACATCATGTTAAAGTAAAGAAAATCAACATATTCCAACATATTCATGAGAAGAAAAATTCAAAAAAATATAGGGGCTGAACCAGCCAACCCCATATAGTTCGGAGACGATGATGATGAATATTAAGTGCAAAGCTGCTGTCCTGGATAAGTAGAGGAATTTGTAAGGGGATGGAGGGTGGAAGGATTGAGTAAAAGAGGAAAACTGATTTGGAACATAATACCAGCTGTGGTTTTTGGTGCATATGGCGGGAATGAAGTGCACAAATTATAAAAAACAGAAAGAACTCCACGGATTCTGTCCTTCAGAAATACTTGGGAAACATGTTTTCTTGGCTTGCTTGTCATAATCCTTTAAGAATATAGGTTGTAATTCCTCTTTTGTACATGACAATCTTTTTGTAAAGCAGGGTGGGGTATAGATCTGAGAGGGCAGATTTTTATAGTCCCTGAATACATCAACTTGCTGTACAAAATGTTTACTTTTGTTAATACAATCCTACTTTACCTGCTCTCTCTCTCAAAAAAGATTTGACCTCTAAATCAACACATGAGTTCGATTCTTTAGAGTAGGAACTCTGGTGTTGGTCTTAGTAAGTTGCAAAATGGTGTGTACAAGCATCTTGATTGTTCTTGAAGATCTACGCATACACCTTGATAGTATAGGTTTATGTGTTACAGTTGCTCTGCAATTTTGTTCCATGGCCCTTAGTTAGCCATGAGACTGGTCTTCCCACATCCACAATCTTCCTTCCCCCCCTCCCTCTCCCTCTCCC